AAGATTTCTAAAAGCCATCATCCAGATCTTCTCCAATGAAGATGAAGATTGTCTTCTCCATTGAAAATGTTGAAATCAATGTTCCACATTTATTCATCCATTTGCTCTGGGAGACAAAGTTATTTACATGCAAGAATGGTATCCAGAGGTTGAGCACAGACGTATGGATAGGAAGATTTCATGCTTGACAAACATGACTGTCTGAACTGGTGTGGTCCACGTTAGTAAGATCTGCTAATGCACAATCTTCAGTATTATTCTGACTAAATTCATGAATTGAGGGAATACAGAAAGCAGTAATATTTCATCTTCAACCTTTTAGTCATACATATTTTAACAGGGTCAAATCCTTAATAAGGGGGATCAAAATGTTTAACTCCCCGCTGCAATTCACACCATGTACGAAGGGGATTAAAAACACACATTAGAGAAATTGACATTTTTATTTAGAATAATTTGCAAAGCTATATTATACACAATGCAGCAGACATTCCTACTGACATACAGAAAATATTAACAATTCACACTGTGGGATGTAGCTACTAGTACACATAAAGGGTATCAACACAGGTATCAACACATATAGGTGTCAAACTAGATAAAAAGATGCATAAATTATCGACTTGTAAGGCCAGTAGGTCAAGAGCATCAAAAGATCTAGGACAACCTGAACTTTTTAAATTAAAAATATTTAACAGAATTTACTGGGAAGTTGAACAATATTATAAACAGGGGCAAACAGGATCAATAAGGATCAGATCAATAAGATAAATGTCCTAAAAAAATGTTTTTGACCTAATGCAGAGTTGCGCCACCCTTGCTGGCAACAGCTGGCATTAAGTATTTGCAGTAACAAGTAATGAGTCTTTTACATCTCTGTGAAGGAATCTGACCCATTTTGTAGAATTGTTTTAATTCAGCTACACCAGTCAGTTTCCCATCATGACTGGCCTGTTTAAGGTCAACCAGTTTCACTCAGTGTTATCTAAGTCCAGACTTTTCCTGGATGAAAATGTGCCTGAACACAAAACAACAATTTCCTTACTGTTAGCAGAAAGTTGTCATTTTATTCTGAGCTTGTAAGTTAAATAAGTCATCTGAGTGGTGAAAGGTAGCAAGCTAGCTAAATAGCTTTAGCTAGCGTGCTAATTTTCGCATACTATTTAGCAATTTTAATAACTTTCAGAATGCTTTGAAGTGCCATCAGAAGTTGTATGTTCTTGTGGACTCAGATCTTCCATGTCAGCTGATAAAGCTCTGTAACACATCATGAGACAATTTCTAAAGGGCTGCAACAAGCTCACATGGTATGAAATTTGTTTGATAGTTAAAGTAACTATTACCAATAACTTCTTATTGAAACTAACCTTTCAGGTTGCTTGGTCCTGCTTGTTCTTTTGTGATGTCCAGGAAGACTCAATCTGCCCTTAGACTCATTTATGTTCACCTGATTAGGTTCACGACTGTTTCATGTTTTCTCCGTTTCCGGATTTTGCCTCCCACATTGGTTTGCTGAAATCCCAGAGTTGTTGCTTTTTGTAACTGACTGTTTCTTATCCATTCTTGAATTTGCTTCTGTCATGATGTGCTGCTTTTTGAGATCTTTTTAACCTACTTATTGTTGTTACATAGTGAAAGTGGTCCAAAAAATAATTTAGGACAAGAATTTAATGTTTCGTTATATTTTATCAACAGGGGCTTGTTGGTTGGTTTTGGATAATGAAATCATTATTTTTCAACGTCACTGCCGTATAAAAAAACATGTGCTAATTATCTACCTAACGTCACTGCAGTATAAAAAAACATGTGCTAATTAGCACCTAATGTGCTAATTATCTACCTAAATAAACCTAACCTACATGGTTAGGTTTATTTAATATCTGACATGACTTCCACACAGTAAGGGGGGTGTTTCCAATCAGGATCATGTAGAAATGTAATATATATAAAACCAGACAGCTAGGCTTTAAACCCACCAAGTGAAGCAACCTTACCCCTAACAATTCAGAGCTTCAGTTTAACAAAATGTCGATGGGAAGGATTATGAAAAATTACACAAAAGCAAAATATATAGAAGACTGTCGGAAATTAACTTTACATGATAAGTAAAAAGTCCTTTAACTATGAGACAAAAAATTACACGGTGCTTAGAGTATTCAATCACTTAAAGGTTTATTCTGCCTTTTGCTTTTTGAAGCACTTGGATATTTCAAATCATCACATTTCATAATATAACCAAACCTCCTCAGTGTTAGAAGTCAGCAGCTTTGCTTCCTCAACTTCATGTCGTCAGAAAGGTTCTATTTAAATGAGTTTTTTACTTTGTTGATCAGGCATTCTGTTGCAAAATGGCAATTTACATTTTTTACATAGATAAATTCATCATTTGTTTAAAAAAAAGCATTTTCTATTTACTCGGGTAACTTTGAAAATTCAAGTGAAACTAAAAACCCCAGAACTCAATAAGGGAGGCCAATAATTTTACTTTTAACAAATCGATTGACCCAGAAACAAATTAAATTAATACTAAATAATTCACTGGGCACACAACTTAAAATAGGTCCCATTCTAATAGAAAACTTTTAAACGGCCTCAGCTGAGCAGCAGAATGAAGTCCAGCCATAGAAGAGGAAAACATTGCAGGAAACCCCACAGCAACAAGGACAGAAGCAGGGTAACGCCGTGAACAACAAAGGGAAGCAAACTGAGGAGGAACAAGCAGCAGCAGGTCATCCTGCAGTCTTCTTAATATCTCTAAGCAATTAATCCAATTAATTAAAATACAATTTGCATGGTGGAACAGTTGGTAGCAATGTTGCCTTGCAGCAAAACGGTCCTGGGTTTGAATCCCTGGTTGGGTTCTTTCTGTAGAGACTGCGCATGTTGGTAGTTAGTTGTGTGAATAGGTTGAAATAGGTCGGGTGTGGGATAATGACTGAAGCCTTGATGATAATTAGATCTACAAACATTTCCATTGACCATATAGATATGTAATTTGACATTTTGAAAATAAATTTGCATAATGGAAACACGCCAATTATGGAAAAACAAATTTTTCAATAAAAAGTTTGCCACTGGGATGAAGTGTTTTTTGTTATTTTGGCCACATAAAAATTGGTTTATTTCTCTGAACTACAATGGAAACACTTTATTTCACATTACATGAGTCACATGATCAAAAACTGGATGTTGCCACTGGCACAAACCACAAAGAAGATGATGAAAGGAAGTCGTTGAAGGATCATGACACGTCATCTTTCTAAATGACATTGTGTGAGCAAACTTCTTCACATGTGATTTTAATTACACTTCTTATTTAATGAAAACACCACAACTATGAAATTGTGTTTTTTTTTTTTTTTTGACAAGATTTGCACATATTTGTAATGAAAACACAGAGACTTAGTGAGTGGGGTCAACCTGACCCCTCCAGGCAGAGTTAGTCTAGCCCAGGGGTGTCCAAAGTCGGTCATGGAGGGCCGGCATCCCGCATGTTTTAGTTTTCTCCCTTGCTTTAGGTCACAATCTTAAGCATAGCTGAGGAAACGTAGTACCACTAAGACTTCTGTTGAATACTTTAACTGAGAGTGACTCTGCATGGCTTTGGTTAACACAGAGCCATAGGAATAGATTCTATCATGTGTGTAAGGTTGGTATAGGAGGCAGCAGAAAGTAGACTGGTGCCTTCTATACCTGCCTTCTATGAAGTCTAGCTTGGTTAAAGAGTTGGTCAGTCAAAGTCTGGTGTCTCCTTGTACTCGCTAAGCTGTCTCAAAGAATCATTACAACAAATGTTGATTTTATTGGAAATAAAGGCTATTGGCTGGTTGTGTTGATTGGCTGTACCCTAAGAGCAGAAATTAGGAAGGCTATGGATGTTAGCTTTTGCAATTATGGTCAAAATGGTTTCCAATTTGTGTATTATGCATATTTGGCGTTTAAACTATTAAACTCCATTGGAGGGGGTTTCAAGTATTTGCCAATTTTAGCTGTTTTCAAGAAACACAACAGACTTTGAAAAAACAGTGATAAACTTAATGATTGTTTGGCCTTTTGCTGCTTCAGTACCTGCATGACATGTCATTGTTCTTCAATCACAACTTCTGTACTTGGCCAAAATCGTCCTGAAGAACAATGTCTGTAGCCAACAGTTTTTGACCTCAACCTGAAGACCTCTTTTCCTGGGTTCTGCAGCATAATTATCCAAAGAACATCAACAAGAACTCCTCTGGATGATGAATGGTTGTGGAATTATCTAATTGTTCAGTGTTCTTGTAGCCATCTACTAATTTCTGTCACCGCTCTGTGTGAAGTTAACCCACAAAGTTCTTTGAAATGTGAGATATTTGAGAAATGTATCACATACACACATTTCAAGTGATCTGCAACACTTTAATAGAACTAAGATCAGAATTTTGACTTTTTTAGGCTAGACCAGGGTGTCCAAAGTCGGTCCTGGAGGCCCGGCATCCTGCATGTTTCAGTTTTCTCCCTGGTTTAGCACACCTGGATCAAATGATGGCTCATTAGAGGCCTAAGGAGAACATTGACTTGCTCAGGAGGTTGTTGCTACCACACCATATGGAATTGTTTTTATGGTGTCACAGTGTGTCCATGCACAGTTAAGTTGAGATATGGTTATAGCTATAGTTACAGCTCAACCAGGCTGCTTAATTGGACAGCTGTCATTGTCCTGCTATGCATGCATGGAGGGAAAATCAATTTATTGACAGAAGTATGTCCAACTGGGCCACTGTAGGTAGAGGTGAGCAGCTTTCAGCTTGTTAGTTCTGTTTTAGCTGCTGTGTTACAGACCTAAACACCTGACACCTGCTCTTATGTGAGACAATGCGGATTTATGAGAGCATTTATGTGGATGTGTGAGCTAGTGCTGATATGAATCAAACTTTTTCATACTTTGTTTTGGTGTCATTATGCAACCAGTATGGTGAAGGAAAGGACAGTTAAGCCCCAAATTGTTCCTACTGCTGGTAGATTCGGTTTGACTCTGGTTGGCGTCACTTTGATTCCTTGTGATGTCTTCCTCTCGTTCTGGTGCGTAATGAAGCCACTTCTTGACAATTTTGCTGCAGTCCTCAAGAGTCAGCTTTCGGTCAAACTGCAGAGCAACAGCTGAAAAAAATAAAAGTGAGGAAGGTGCCAGTTAGAAATATGATAAACATTTGAAAAGTTCTGAAACACAATGAAAGATTAAACAGTGTACTGGTTACAGGTCTGAGAACAAATACAAACCATATAGTTCCCCATGTACACTCACTGTTAAATTAATATCTTAATCTTTCATTAATATTTATCTTAATGTTTACATATACAACTACATTTACCCATCAAGCTGCAGTATAGTGTAGGATTTATGATGCTGCACTCATGTTAAAATGAGGGAATCAATATCCAAAATAAAGGCTGTTCATCAGAAAACCTAACGATAAAACTCAGGGAGGATCAGGTTTATTTAACACACCAGAGACAAATAAATCGAACAAAAGGTGATTTATAGTGTAGTTGGAAAAATTATAATTTATACAGAATAAACTTCCATCAAATAGCTGGTTCAATCTTCCATCAACTACAAATATTTCCAAATAAGTTGATTAAATTCCTTAAAGTGTCTATATGCTAATAAAGATCCCACACAAGTAACAATAGTCCAGTTCAATTTAACCAGTTACCAATCAACAGACTGAATCAGTCATTAGCAGGTTTAGTTCATTGTTTCACCTGCCTTACATGTTAAGTGTTTCCTTTCTGCCACACCTGGATTGAATCTGTGGATGATTAACAACCTTCTGCACTTCTTGATGGCTGCAGACGGTCATGTAATCATCATCATAATAAAAAGTTAAAAACAAGTGATTACTATCACAACAATTTAAAGCCAACCTGCAGGGCCGTGCAGAGACCACTAAAAGGGCAGGTGCTCAAAAAAAAAAAAGGGCACATCTTACCGCCTTCTAGGACAGAATATTAACAAAGCCTCTCAGCTTTCAGAGTTTAATAAACAATGATAAATTACAAAATTGTGACATATACAATCAAAGCTAAGGAAAATCTCTATATAGAGCATACAACTATGCATATGTAAGATATTTTATTAGTAATTTCTTTCTGCAGGTCTATTTTGTTATAGGAAAGTATTGCAATATTCAAACATATTCAGCAAGATATGTAAATCAGAGCTAGACCACCAGACATATTTTGCAGAATTACACTATTAAAAATATAAACAAGGGCACAATGCAACCTTTTAGTGTACTGTAATCTACAGAGAGCTGCCTGTTTGCTACACTTGCAGTGGAGATGAAGATGGTCCTTTCAGGAAAGCAGAGCTGCACCAAACTTTAATGTGGAACTGCAGAAAAAAAAAAAGAAAAAAAAAGAAAAAATGTAATTGTTAATGCATGTCACCATGAGAAAAGCCTACTGAGTTTTGCTTAAAAAGCTTTTTTTTATTAAAATCACACATTTTTGTCTCATGAAGTGAAAAAATTATTTGCAAAACAAACTTACTTGCACATGTCATAAATAT